GAGAGAGAGAGAGAGAGAGAGAGAGAGAGAGAGAGAGAGAGAGAGAGAGAGAGAGAGAGAGAGAGAGAGAGATTAGACCCGGTATATCTGATTGATATGGTTTTTTATTTTTGCATTTGTGCGGGCGTAGCCGCACTGGCCTTGTTTCAATTTGTATTTCCAATTTGGTAAAGAATTGGGGAAATGTTCAATATATCCCCAAAGATGAAGTATATGCCAAAATGCCCCTAAAGGATGCCGGTAGAGCCGAATGTCCGTTTGACCCGAATTCTTTCCGATATGTCCCTTTCAGGCCGGGGCGCGAATTCGCCATCTGGACCCAGCCGTGAGGCCTGGGCCTGCAGGGTGTTCTAGCCGGTTCCCCTGCCTACCGGGCGGGCAACTGCTGGTGCAAACTATTACTGCCATCTGTGATCTCGTGCGTAATTACCCTAATCTGCAACTGTTCCAGGTTATTGACCCCATGTGTACCTCTTGTACTTCGGTGTCTGTCACCATGCCTGCTTCAGTCCTTATTCCCCCACATGCTGCACTAACCCTTTGTGACCTCCTTCTTTGTGCAGCCACTGAAACAGTTGCACTCGGGTGTGGAAAGCGTAGACTTTGTCGACGTCACTACAACAACGAATGTGCACTGATCTGTGATGGTGAACGCCCCACAATCGTCATGGCCTGCAACCGGCATGCCCTCTGCCGTGCATGCTTCAGAGGTATGGTATGGTTGATGCTAGCCGTCCTGGCTCCTGCTGTGAGGAGGTTGCTTGCCTGAATCGTCTTCGTCCTCCTATAGATCGGCGGGAGGGCTGCAACCATCGCCCGCATCCTTTCGATAGTTGTCCTATCTGTCGTGAGGGTCTTACTCAGACGGACCTTGCACCTTAACCAAAGGTGCAGGTGTGCTGAAAAGAGTGTACGAAAGTGGGAGACCCTTCACTAAAACTGCAAGACAGTGAAAGAGGAATGCAGCAAAAGAAAGAAGAAGTTTGTGTCATTCCACTTTGTTTGTACCCTGCACCCTAACACCCTCAGATAAAAAGTCAGAAGGGTGAAAATGAGATTCAAAAGTAAAGAAGGAAGTGCAGGGTGCGCTGAAAAGCGAATGCGGTAGACCCTTCACCAAAACTGCAAAACTGTGAAAGAAAGAAGAAGTTGTGTCACCTTCCCTTCGCCTATCGGTTTTTCTTTTCTGCTCCTCTCCTCCTTGCGTTTAACACCTCTCCCTTTACTCTGCCTCTTTCCCACAGCGTGCAAGAGGGGGCTGTTATGGCATACGGCGGGGATGGTGGGGGCAGCTCGTGCTCAACTTCAACAACGTGGCGAGCCTTGTACGGGAGAGGCGCAGTGGAGGAGTTGAGAAGACTGAGAAATTGAATGATTTCAAATGTGTCTTTGTTTTTTTTTTTTTGCTTTTTTTAAAAAGAAACCAAGCACTTTATTACAATTGTTTCAACGAGGCCAGGGACCCTCACAATTCAACCCGGATGAACATACTGACAGCATCAGCCAGCTTAGCTTAGGCTTCAGAGGGGAAACTTTTAAACCAGGAACAGTTCCGGTCCAGAGGACCTCTGTCCTGATATACTCTCACTCTGAGCTATGTAAACAAAATTGCCTCCAGGGCCACCAAAGCCAAACAATCCAAAAGTAGAAACTGAACAACCCACAGAGCTCTGCCTCTCATTCCCCTAAATCTATCTCTTCCAGGTATATCCTACCATCCCACTGTTTCTATGTCCTACTATACCGTCTATCTTTGACGGTCAGCATTCGTTCAGTGTAAAAAAATTATAAAACACTGAAAGAATAAGAAGACACTAAAACAAAGAAGAAGAAGAAGACACTGTTTTCTGTCTTTCTGGTTTGTCTGTCTCTTTGCCTGTCTGTCCTTTCATTTTTCCTTTTCTTCACTCATCGTTTTTCTTCTTCTAATTCACGTGTTTGCTCTCTTAGTCAATAGTAGTACGGATTCCGTACGTCTGGGCCCAAGCCCTCATCCGTGCAAGCACGGATTCGAACCTGCGACCTCGGCCTCAAGAGCCAGGTCTCTTAACCACTACAGCCAGGACAGTTCTGTGACAATATATATTTATATAAATTTTATTATTTTATTTTATTTCTGTTTGGCCCGGCCGGGCAAGCGGTCCCGTGCCACTCCGGTAGCCTAGTCTGACAGACCAATTGATCACTCACGCCAACCCACGAAGTCCTCTACAGTCCGGAAGTTTGCCCTGACCTTGCCTGGTCGGGCCACCCGGGCAGCCCAAGGTGGACCCGTGGCCCAGCCGGGCCACCCAAGGTCAGTTCAAGGTGGTCCGGGCGTCGCCGAACTTGTATAAAATCGTCCGGGATACCCCTTGAAAACCACAATGATATATCTAAGTCAAGGAGCATAATCGTAGTTTTTAATCTATATCTAAAGTCAACTATATCTGCAAGTGGCGAGCTTGTCCGGGACCACAACAGTGAATGAGGGCCGAGCTCCACTGTCCCAATGGTATGTTCTGGGAATTTACTGCTTGTTGATTTCTGTGATGATGCCATTGGCAGCTGTTGGACACCAAGTGGCGAGCTTGTCGGAACCCTCGGGGGAAACTTCAGGCGCCTTTCAATTTGGGGACTCGGCTACTCCCCGCACAAGAAGTATATAGATCATGGGAAAGGCTGGAGAAAGTCGGGTCGCAGGAGGTAGGGTCTCATGGGACAGGTGGTGACGTTCAGAGTATTTACTGTATGTTTGCACATTTGCATATTTGAGAGGGGTGCATTTTAAGAGGGGAACACATAACATACATAGCAAGGGAGGAGAGTCGTGAGGAGGACACACAGACAGACATAGCCAAGCCAAGCCAAGCCAAGCCAACGGGAGTCGGCAGAGATTCTTTCTAATTTATATGATTGGTTTTCGACCGTTCAGTTTTGGCATAGATGATAGAGGAGGCCTGAGATATACCAAGAGTGCTGTGTTTTCTCTCGCTTCCCCTCCCCCCCGGCCCCTCTCGTGCTTATGGATTTTTTTAAATATATATATATATATATATAAGAGAAGAGACGCCGGTTCCTTGTCGGTGATTTTCTCCCGTCCCGGGGAGGGCACCAGGTGGGTGAAACCTTTTTGAGAGGAGGGGGTAAAACCCTTTTTTCTTTGTTTGAGAGGGGTGGGTGGGTCAGTTTGACTAGTTGTCCCAGCGAGAAGATGGAAYGGGAACGGCCAAGTGTGCACTTGCAGGTCCCCACGGTGTGGCATCGTGTGCCAGCTGTGCTGCTTATTTTTCAGCTTCTTCTTGCCGGTCCCGGGCAGCGATGGGTCTGTGCTCAAGTTGGCGAGGTCACCGTGGGGATGAACTATGGCCGTGTCTCGCATCAGGTTCTGAAGGCATCCTTTGCCGTGGACCTGATGCAAAGGCTCGGTATCAAGAAGGTCAAACTCTTCAATGCTGACGAGGTGGTCCTTCAGGCCATGGCGAAAGGGAGCGGCTTCAGGGAGGTGATGGTCACCGTCACGAATCAGGAGATGACGGACGTGTCAGCGTCCCAGGAGATGGCGAACGATTGGGTGCAACACAACGTGGCCCGGTACGTCAAGTCGAATCTGGTTCCGATCACGTGTGTGGCTGTCGGAAACGAACCGTTCCTCGAGGAGTACTATGAGCAGTTCAAAGATGTGGTGTACCCCGCGCTGAGAAACATCGTGACCGCTTTGGACGAGCAGGATCTGCTGAAAACGGTCAAAGTGACGGTGCCCATGAATGCGGACGTAGTCAACAACACCGACGATCCGATAAATGGGCAGTTCAAAGATAGTGTGCGGATGACTCAGATATGCGAGCTGTTGGCCCGAACGAAATCCTTCTTCACCGTGAACATTTACCCATTCTACATGTACAAGGACGACCCTAGGATTCCGTTGAACCTCGTCATGTTCCAGGGGGCGGTGGGGGGGTACCAGAGTCTGCTTGACAGAGCGTACGATGGAGTCGTTGCTGCGCTTCAGAAAATCAACTACCAAGACATGAAGGTGGTCTTGGGAGAAGTGGGCTGGCCGACCGACGGGCACGAGTTTGCGACCAATGACATGGCTCGCCGCTTTAACAGCGCCTGCATCAAACATCTTGCCGCGGCGCAGGGGACCTTGTTGCGTCCGCGGCAACAGATCGACGCGTACATGTTCTCGCTGTTTGACGAAGATGCCAAATCTATACTGCCCGGCCCGTTTGAGCGCCACTGGGGGATCTATGATTATGCCGGCAGGCCCAAGTATCCCCTCGATTTCACCGGCCACTCGGATGGGGAGAGTGCGCAGCTTCCACTCGCACGGAGTCAAATCGAGTTTCTGCGAAACCGGTGGTGCATCGCCCCGAAGCCCTACGAACTCCCCGATCCGAATGCAACCAGAGACAAAGTCGAGACCCAGTTCTGCCCCCAGGATGAACGCAACGCCACAGTGGCGTCCGACTGCAGCAGCACTGTTCAAAACGCTTCGTGCTATTTCGGCGGCGACACTCGGCGAATTCTGAACGTCTGGATGAACTACAGATATCAGCTGGCGGAGCAGGACGAAAAAATGTGTGTAGTGGATGGGGTGAAAGGACAGATCATCGACTCAGATCCTTCAGAGGTAAATTGCTCATTCATGTTGGCGCTCAGTGATTCCATGCTGGATAAAAATGCAGCAGCAGCAGATCAGATCAGCCGTTGTGCCAGTTTTCTGTTTTGTGCAATCACGCTCATCTGGTCTATGCTTACTGCTTCTGCAGTACTTCCGCTTCCTTAATTGCTCTCCCTGCTTTTTCACAAGGAGAACAGCTGTGGTGAATGAACGACAGAGGAGCCTGAATCAATGGCAGCTGCGTGAATGTGCAAAGCTGTCTGTGAGCAACAAACAGGTGATCCGCCAACCAATCAATCAAACGACGGAGTCTCAGAACACGCTGGCGAAAGTAACAAAATAGGAGCCTGGGAAAGGACACGTTTACCAAAGGGTATATATATACATATATATATATATGTATATTTTTAGCGGCGTCACTGCTGCGATGCTCACATCAGGACAGGGGTAGAGCATTGGCAATACTGGCCCGGTACGGGCTGCTCTTCTCGAAGAGAATCTGCAGTATGTCCGAGGAAGAGGCGAAGGCAAATATATTTCAATTGTAGATGCAGATGTAGATGTGACCAGAATGAGCGCTTCTGGTCCCCGGATTTCGTTTTGTTGGTAGGTATCCTCCCCTTTGGCATTGGGTAGTGGATGGATGTACCGGCCTGCACGGATATAATGCATATATATATAC